TATATCTTCCTTAGAGAATTGCCTGCTTAGCTCTTTTGCCCATTTTTTAATTGGGTTGCTTGTTTTTTTCTTGTAAAGTTGTTTGAGTTCCTTGTATATTCTGGATATTAATCCTTTGTCAGATGTATATTTTGCAAATATTTTCTCCCACTCTGTTAGTTGTCTTTTAACTCTGTTAATTGTTTCTTTTGCTGTGCAGAAGCTCTTTAGTTTGATATAATCCCATTTGTTTATTTTTCCTTTGGTTGCCTGGGCATGATTTTTTCTTAAACTCAGTACATTCTTCAAGCAAAGGAGAGAGCGTGCATCTGTAGGTCCCTCTATGTCACGCTGGCCGTGATATGGGTTAATTGGAGTGTCTATTCTTTAGCTCCCGTCCCCTCAGTACAGCCTGTAGATAGATGCATGGAGGCAAACAGAGGTCAAAGGAGCAGCCTCCATTATGGAGGCCCAGTGCTACTCAGAGGCCAGGGGTCCTCACTTCTACCAGATGGGAGAGCTCGCCTGTGACCTGAGGCCAGTGTGGGGACCCCTCACCTCCCTTGGGACCTGTCCATGGAGGGATGGACCTGCCAAGCAGACTCTACCTCCAGCTCCCATAGCAGCTCACAGTAGTAACAGAGGCTGACCTCGCACACCCCAGGGATGGCCAAGTGGAGGGCATGTGGGAGACGCTTGGCTGCTCTGAGAAGTAAAGTTCTGAGAGAGTGACCCTCTCCCTGGTAGGTATGACCCAGTGGTCTCACCTGTCCCACCTGCTGCCACCAAATGAGTGGAAGGAGGAACCAGTGATCTTGACTCTTGCGCTGCTTCCTTCTGGGGACAGAGCTGATGTCCCTTCTCTATGGAGGAGGATGCCTCTGACACCTCGGGACAGGAAGCACCTGCCTCTGATGATGTCTCTGACACTCGCCTTGCTATCAGCTTGCTTTGTCACCTGCACCCTCTATAGGGAGGGGATGTGAGGCATGTACGGCTACGGAATCTCCAGAGCCACCTAAAGTTAAGTAGGGAGTTAAATATTTAGCAGCCTTCTCTTGGGTACTTTGGTCACCTTTGCTGTCACTTTTGACTTTTTAGCTTCTTGTGTGTTTTTTCTCCACCCAGCCTGTTTGTGATCACATTTCTCTTGCACTCTTAGCAGATGTTGATATGGAAGAGGGATATTCCTCATCCCGGTAACATTTTTCTAAGGTGTTTGGGGGAAGGACTTGCTTCAAAGCCCTAAAACATCTTCAGCTCCAAGATGACATTTTCACATACTTATTACGGGGCCAGATATTTTTCATGTTCTTTGAACAGATTTCCTGACAAAAGCAGCACTAAAGATTGTGTCTCTAATGATAAAATGTGATTGAGTGTCTTCTGTAGAATGGAATTTTCTCATAAAAACGATCTAAATGGCTTGTTATATTTTAAATAGTTCTCTTAGTACCATTCTTCAGGCATGCCATGAATAACCAGGCTTTTGTGGGCCAGCTGGGAATGTAACAATTTTAAGTGTAGACATTTTGAATGCATTTTCTTATACAATGTCACCTTACAAACTCAATGTTGGAATGTTTGCTATTGACGAACAGAATGAATTTTCTTATACAATGTCACCTTCTAAACTAATAAGGTGATATAGAACAGCTCATATTTATGAAATGGAGATAGCTTTTTGAATTTTTTATTTTTAATGCTTTTAACTCTTTCTCTGATATACTCTCTCAGATTTATATTTGTAACTGCTTATGTAAGCCAATATTGGGATTTCTTATGATTTTGAAATCTGTTCGGTGAACAGATTTTGGTTCTTCGTGGGGGGAGGGGAGGCAGGATTTGAGTCAAGTACAGTCCTCCCTTGGCATCCATGGGAGATTTGTTCCGGGACCTCCTGTGGATACCAAAATCTGCAATGCTCAAGTCCTTGATATGAAATGGCATAGTATTTGCATACAACCTACACATATCCTTAGATCATTTTTATGAGAAAATTCCATTCTACAGAAGACATTCAATCACATTTTACCTTTAGAGACACAATCTTTAGCACTACTTTAAATCATCTCTAGATTACATATAATACCTACTACAATGTGAATGCTATGTAAATAGTTGTTATACTGTAATGTTTAGGGAATAACGACAAGAAAAAGTCTGTACATGTTCAGTGCAGATGCAACCAGCCATTTTTTTCTGCCAAATATTTTTGATCCACTGTTAGTTGAATCCATGAATGTAGAACTTGCAGATATGAAGGGCTGACAGTACATCAAATGTGAGGCTTGTCTGCTCCTCAGATTTTATTTTATTTTTTTTAAAAGATGACCGGTAAGGGGATCTTAACCCTTGACTTGGTGCTGTCAGCACCACGCTCACCCAGTGAGCTAACCGGCCATCCCTATGTAGGGATCCGAACCCGTGGCCTTGGTGTTATCAGCACCACTCTCCCGAGTGAGCCACGGGCCAGCCCTTGCTCCTCAGATTTTAAAAAGCGCCTCAGAATAAGAGCAGTGGCTGCCATTTGTTGGTTTGTGATGTTCTGTTACATGCATATAACCTTTGAGCTTCTCTTCTTTCCCAGGTATGAAAGGTTACAGAAAACATGCTCCATAGCCCTGGTTGGCAAATACACCAAGCTCAGGGACTGCTACGTCTCTGTGTTCAAAGCCCTGGAACACTCAGCATTGGCCATCAACCACAAGTTGAATCTGATGGTGAGTCCCAGCCTGGTCTTCTGGCTATTTCAGTCATTTACTCCAATATCTCATGTTCCAGAGGGGCAGGTAGTGTTTGAAGTGTCCCTAAGATGTCCCCCAGGTTCAATGATTCACCGGGAGGACTCACAGGCCTCAGCATGCAGTCATTCTCATAATTAAGATTTGTTATAGCCAAAAAACACAAACCAGAATTGGCAAAAGGAAAAGTCTCATGGGGCGAAGGCTGGGGGAAACCAGGCACAAGCTTCCACGAGCCCTCCCCCAGTGGAATCTCACAGGTTGAGCTTAATTCCCCAGCAGTGAGTTGTGATGATAATGTGTGTGAAGTGCTGTCTACCAGAGAAGCTCATCAGAGACTCGGAGCCCAGGGGTTTTACTGGGGGCTGGTCACCCTCTGCTTAGCATGTACCAAAATTCCAGACTCCCAGAAGGAAAGTGCATGCTCAGTATAAATCATGTTGTCTGTATACTTTAGCATAAATTATGTTGTTTGTACAAATACTTCAGGTGCAATGAGCCACTCTTATCAGTTCTTGGAATGGTGGGAATCCTCCTGAGATCCAAATTTCCAGGTACCATCCATGGGCCAATCTTGTAGTCAGGCCTTTCCAAGGATAGCAGTCAGGACTGCCATGTTAACTTTTTTCTGCACCCAGGTTTAAGGCACATTTCTGAAATTGGGCTTTGCATATCCAGGTAAATATATACTTCATGCTCACGTAAGTGCATTGCATTTGCCTGACAAGAAAATAATAGAATATTTTTTCACTTTAGCATTGGAATAGAATCCAGTTTTTTAAAATGCTGTACTCCCCTTTCTGATTTGGAGGAGCGATATCTGGTGCACAGTGATTATTCGTTTTTTAAAAAGTCAGTATTATGGGATAGCAGAGGTGTAGTTATCATTTCAAGCTTGAGCATATTTTTTGTCCTTAAATTTAAACAAAGCAAAAATGTAAAATGTAGAAAGCAGAAGCTTTCTCCTCCCTGAAATCCCACTTCTCTGTTGTACCTGTTGTTACCAGTATATACATGTATGAGAGTACTTCAAAAAGTTTGTGGAAAAATGGAATTAAAAGGTAATACAAATCTTGCCATGAACTTTTTGAAGACCCCTCGTATATATCATATTTCTATTTAATAATATTCGATATGGCTATATCATGGCTTAAGTAAGCCTTATTATCTTGATTTAAATGGTAAAACCTTTGTATAATGAGTAAAAAGGTACATTTATATGTTCAAGAAATTTAGTGACTTCCACTTCGACACCAGCTTAGGACCCAGCTGACTTTTCTCTCTCCTCTTTTTATTCTCCTTCTTTCCTAATCACTTTTTATTTTTGGCTTTCCAAGGAATATTTCCCTTACTGTTCCTCCCACTTCTCCAAGCCCCTCACTTCCTCATAGAAAAAAAGAAAATAACAATAGAAAAATTGCCATGACACAGATTTTATAAAGCCTCTGAAATTTTGTATGTTAAGATGTATTCAGACAGTCATTTTTATAAAAGAAATAGTAAAATAGTATAGGTTTATAGAGACTGTTATGTACATAGGAATTGGTGTACATGGTGTTTCATTTAATAGAATTCATTGACATTAGCTTCTACTGTTTCATGGGTTTGTCATACTCTTTTCAAGACTAGTCTTCCCTCCGTTTTCTACAGTGTACCAGAGTGATGGTTCTAAAATCCCTCTCTGTTCTCTCTATTCCTGTAATCCCTTTACTTAAGACCTTTTAGTTGTGTCTTAGTCTGTTCAGGCTGCTATAACAAAGTACCACAGACCGAGTGGCTTACACATAACAGACGTTTATTTCTCATAGTTCTGGAGGCCAGAAGTCTGAGATCAGGGTGCAGCAGGGTCGGGTTCTGGTGAGGGCCCTCTCCCAGGCTGCAGACTGCTGACTTCCGGTTATATCCTCATGTGGCAGAAGAGGCAAGGGAGCTCTCTGAGGCTACTTTTATAAGGGCACTCATCCTAATCATGAGGCCTCCACCCTCACGATCTAATCACTTCCCAGAGGTCCCACCTCCTAATACCATCACCTTCTGGGTTAGGGTTTCAACATATGAATTTTGGGGGAACACACACATTCAGTCCATTGCAAGTGGTTTCAAGTGTAAACTCTGTGTCATGGATTCTCAGTCTCATCGAATGCTTCCCACCAACCATCATGCCTCTCCTGTCACCAGGTGGAGCCTCTTTTGAGGGTCCTAGATGGCTCCCACTTTCTCTCTCTCCTCTGAAGTTTCATATGAGCTGTTCCTTTGATTAAGATTTCATACCCTTCTCCCCTCTCTTCATCTGCCGCACACCTTCCCTGCCACCTCCCAACACACGTGCGCACGTGCGCGCACACATATGCTCATCTTGAGGCACTCACCTTGGGGCTTAGCCTCTTGGACATCACCTCCCCAGAGATCTTCCCTGACATCGCTCTTTCTCTCCTTTCCTCCAGTGTCCATCCAGCTTTAGATTTTAGTGTGGCTCCTAGTTAATGCCAAAGCATTCTCTTCTTTGCCCATCTCAGCCATTATCATGCCATGTTGTGGATGCCTGTTTATTTGGTTTCCTAATCCTCCTGAAAAATTATGGGTCACGTGACAGAGATCATGTTTTTCTTTCCCCAGTGCCCAGTGCAGTGTTTGCATAATAAGTAACTATTGAATAATTGTGTCATAATGTTAGATGACTCTAGTATTTTTGAGTATTTATTTTTCTTAAGTGTTCCTTTAATCTGTTGGATGTTTTTTAGTACATAGACTCCACTGATCTGGAGCACATCACTGAAACCGAGGACGCTGTGAAATTCCATGAAGCTTGGCAGAAGCTATGCAAAGCTGAGTGAGTACCAGCGACTGTCCACATCTGTTAGGACAATGCCATTGCACTTTTTCCATATGATTCGATTTACCCCAATTACTAATTTTTGTGCATTTTGAAAGGTAGTTTGGAGTACTGTGGTCTTGACAGGTTTCCCGCTGCATTGTTTTTTTTTTTTTTTTTGTCTTTTTTCATGTCCGGCAACGGATCGCAACCCTCAGTGTCGCGCCCGTACCGGACCGGGACCGGCAATGGGATCGCAACCCTCAGTGTTGCACCCGCACCTCGCTCATCCAGTGAGCGGGAACCGGTCTGTATGTGGGATCCGAACCCTCGGCGGGAGCGCCGCCGTGCTCCCAAGCGGCGCACTGTAGCAGTGCTCCACCGGGCCGGCCCACGCTGCATTGTTTTGAAATGTGCCATGTTAATGATGGTGGCATGTGCAGCAGAAATGGTTTTATTTGGGAAGGATGGGAGTAATGATGGGGATAATGTACTGGAGGGAAAGTGTGTTGATGCTCCTGGAAGATGCCGAGATGGATCTTATATATATAAAGTTCCAGTACCAGAATGACAACTATTCTCTCTTGATTATATTTTCTTTTCCATGTTTTTTTTTGGCGGCTGGCCAGTACAGGAATCTGAACCCCTGACCTTGGTGTGATAAGATTGTGCTTTTAACCAACTGAGCTAACCGGCCACCCTTTTCCACATGTTTTGATTCTAGGTTTTATTTTGTAAGTAATTGATAGAACTCTTAAACTCTTCTAGTCTTTTCAACTGTGAGTTTGCCTAGAAGGTGTCTTCCAGCCAGGAAATTTTCATTGGCTGCTATTTAATTAGCAATTAAAATCTTAGGCTGATTTAACCAGTTTAACGCTTTCTGATTATGTAAGAGATCTTAGCCTTTTTGTAATAGTGCTTTGAAAAGAACCTTAACCTATTTTTATTCTGATTCTTCTCCCACTGGCATTCTTAATTGAACTGAGTTTCTCAGTTACTATGATCAGATGCCACAAAGACCCATTAGAAAATGTATATCAAGGTCAGTTTTTTTTTTTTTTAAAAGATGACTGGTAAGGGGATCTCAACCCTTGGCTTGGTGTTGTCAGCACCATGCTCAGCCAGTGAGCAAACCGGCCATCCCTATATAGGATCCGAACCCGCGGCCTTGGTGTTATCAGCACCGCACTCTACCGAGTGAGCCACGGGGCGGCCTTCAAGGTCAGTTTTGATAAATTGCTACAACTTGTTTATAACAGGGGGAGGATTTCAAGGAGAAAGTTCAGGATGTGAAATTATGTAATCAATTCTGAAACATGTTCACTAGTGATTGCACCAAGCATTGGATTTGGGATCTGTAAGCATGAACAGCTAAGAACACACGTTTTAGCAATAAAAATAATGGATGGTCAAATTTACTCTCATCTTGTGTTGATTTCAGTGGCATTCTTGTGCCCGGAGGCTTCGGAATCAGAGGAACGTTGGGAAAACTGCAGGCGATTTCTTGGGCAAGAACAAAGAATATCCCTTTTCTGGGTAAAACTCATGTTTATTGATCCTAACTATGAGTTTATTAGATTTTTGACACCTAGAAGGGGTAACTCTTAATTAGGTTTGTTATTGTGAAGGTGTGAACTCAGAACTGAAAGTTCAGGAGCCATATAGTCTGCTACAGTTGTCAGCAAACTATCCCACAGGATAAATCTGGCTTGCACCTTGTTTTTATAAATAAAGTTTTATTGGAACACAGCCACACCAATTTCTTTGCACATTGCCTGTGGCTGCTTTTGTGGTACAGTGGCAGAGTTTGAGATCCTATGGCCTGCGAAGCCTAGAATCTTTACTACCTGACCCTTTTCAGAAAAAGTTTGTCACCCTAAGAGAACCTACCACTGTTCTGGCAGGGTAGCAAGAGGCTGGGAGAAGTCTCTGTCTGTACCTGCTCTTACCTTCTCCAATTCCCACCCCAACCTATCCTCTCACCACTTTGAGCAGAGAACTATTCAGCAAGACCCCACAACAGTCTTTCTGATCAGAAAAAAAAGTATTTAAGTTGAAACTTACATGCTCATTCTAGAAAATACAGAAAGGCATGCAGTGTCGCAGGAACAGCTCTGTTAAAATTTGGTAGAGTTGGGTCTTTTCAATGCTTTTGTTCAAATTGCAAAGCACGGCTTCTGTACCAGTGAAACCAGATGCAATGGGACCTTGATGCGGTAAAGGCAGCCCTGCAGCTGAAGATTCAGGCAGGAGGGGAAGCGGGTCACACTGAGCTCTGGACGTGAACCGAGTGGACAGGCTTTGCTACCCTTTACTATCAGGAGACTATTGTCCCTATTGTCTGCTCTTTGATTAGCTTCCTAGACTCTCTCCTCTTGGGATCCATTTTCAAAAGAGAAGCCAAGAGGAGATACCTTGTTTTGTTTTGCTGATCTAAGCTCATCTGGGCCATTGTTTTCTTTTGAAGTTTCTATCTAAACGTGGTTAGTGTTCCTCAGATACTTTTCACTGTATAGATTAGTTTGTAAGTCTTCAGCTTTCTCTTTAACACAGCATCTCCTTATGGCTGAGCCAAATAGAACTTTCTGAAGTCCCCCAAGCACTCAGTGGTTTCCTGCTTATCGACTTTTGTTCTGGCGTGCCCGGTATATTGATTGCTCCCTGCTTTGCATCCCCTGTGTACCTTGTAAAAGCAGCTGGGATGCTCCTTGGCATTGGTTCAGTGGAGAGAACCAGGGGGCTGTGGTGAGTGTGGAGATGGGTCTGGGAGCATCCCCGTGGCTGCAGGTTGACCTTCCTCCATCATCGAGTGCTCTGTTCTGTTCCATTTTGCCTGTCCTTCCCTGCTGTCCACCACGGTCAAGCCCACAGTGGAGGTGCCACCCTGCAGCTGCTGCTCTTTTCCTACACTGAAGGTCACTGGGCTGTTCTGCAGGTCCTTAGATCCTAGCCCTCTGTCTGCCCTGAGGCTTCTCTGTAGGCCAAGCCCATATTTGTGGCTGTGAAATCACCTTGAGAAGAGGGAGAGTGAAGTCTCAGCCCAGGGGGACTCCCTCTTGAGTTGGGGTGTTGTTAGATGTTCTCTGAAGAAACCAGGCACTCTGAGACAGCCCTGCAGCCCACAAATATGCCTCGATTTAGGGACAAATCTGGAAAGTGGCAGATTTGCCTTTTGGACCCTTACTTTCTCCTTTTCTGCCCTTTTCTGCCCTTCTCTGTCCTCAACTCCAAGCCTTAGGTTGCTCCTAGGTAGTCTTGGCCCTGTTCCCCTCTCTCTGTCACGGACCATTCTGAGTGCCAAGGGGACAGCAGGGAACAAAACAGGCAGGGTCTTGCTCTCTCGGAGTCCGCCTTCTAGATGGAAGAGATAAGCAGCAAACAAATGAACCGGAAATATGAATAACTACAAAATATGTTCATTTGCTTTATATGTGTACGTTTTAAAATAGGAATTTGCCTTGGGATGCATCTAGCGGTGATAGAGTTTGCAAGAAACTGCCTTAACTTGAAAGGTAAGTTCAAAGTTTCTAATAACCATTTATTAAAAAATTTTTTATCACTTAAGATATTTTTCAGAAGTATTGGTGAGTTATTGAACTCTTTTCTTAATCTTCAGATGCTAATTCCACAGAATTTGATCCGAACGCCTCTGCTCCTGTGGTAAGTGGTTTATCTTTCTGCGTCCAGTCAGTTTGTTTCTGGCTCTTGCCTAAACTCATAGGAGGCTGTTATTATTATTTTTTCCTGACTGCACCAGAGCGGTTTTAATTGCATGTGTGTGTATTATTATTTTCACATCAAATCGCTTTGTTCTCAATTGTCCAACTTGTCAGCTATGCTTGTCAGCAGACAGACACAATCCTGGGCTGATTTCTCTTTGTGGCAGCTTTTAAGCTTAATGTGTAGGAAAGGATTAAATTGACTGTGACAACAATTTATAATAGCTACTATAAATAAATGAGCTGTCTTGTCTCTAGACTCATCCCCAGCCTGCCCATTTTCCACATTGGTGGTCTTTTGTCTTTCTGAAAACAAAAGTGACAACCGTTCTGCTGCTGGCCCTTGCCTTCCACCAATTCCTTGTCCCCTAAAATATTCAGTCTAGGATTCCTGGCTGGGCTCTGAAGGCCTTTGTGCTCTGTCACCTGCCGCTTTGCTAATTCATCCCCTGGCATCCTGAGCCCTCCCACACTGTGGGTTTTATGTTTGGACAATCTCCACCAGTTTTTTCAGTTGTTAGCTGAGATTCCCTGTCCATGAGATGTCCCCTTTTCTACAATCTCCCTCCCCCTAGAATCGCAATAAAACCAATGGAGAATTTAATTGCAAAAACAAAGCTTGGTTACCAACAACTTCCGGTTCATTCTGGAAAGCTTCTTCTGACTTCTTTTCTTTCTCTTCCTCTGCCCTCTGCTCCTGTGCTCACCGCCAACTGGAGCACGCTCTGCATGATTGTCACTGGTCTTGAATCGGCCTGTTGTGACTGGCCCTGTGCACGCCCAGTTGTGTCGCTTCTGCCAAGCACCCACCTCTTAAAGAGTGCACACCTCACAATTGTGATTGTTTTTTTTTTTAACAGCTTTATTGAGATACAATTCACATATCACAGAATTTAGTCATTTGAAGTGTATAATTCAGTGGCTTTTAGCATATTCACAGATCTGTGCAACCATCACCATAATCAATTTTAGACCGTTTTCACTACTCCAAAAAGAAACGCCACATCCCTTAGCTGACACCTCCAAGCCTCCTATCACCCCAGCCCCAGGCAACCATTAATCTACTTTCTGTCTCTATAGATTTGCCTGTTCTAGTCATTTCATTTAAATGGAGTCATACACTATGTAGCCTTTGGTGACTGGTTTCATTTATTTAGCATAATGTTTTCAAAATTTGTCTATGTTGTAGCATGTATCAGTACTTAGTTCTTTTTATTGCTAATTAATATTCTATTATATGTTATTTATCCATTCATCCATTGGTGGACATTTGGGTTATTTCCAGTTTTGAGCTATTATGAATAATGCTTCTATGAACATTCATGTACAAATTTTTATGTGGACGTGTGTTGTCATTTCACCTAGGAGTGGACTTGCTGGGTCACACAGTAACTCTATGTTTAACCCTTTGAGGAACTGCCAGACTGTTTTCCAAAGTGGCCAAACCATTTTACCTTTCCACCAGCAGTGTAGGAGGGTTCTGACTCTTTCACATCCTTGTAAATGCTTGTTATTGTCTGTCTTTTTTATTATAGTCACTTTAGTGGGTATGAAGTGGTGTCTCATTGGGGCTTTGATTTGCATTTCCCTGATGGCTGAGGATGTTGCACACCTTCTCATGTGCTTATTATTGGGCACTTGTATATCTTCTTTGGAGAAATGTCTATTCACATTCTTTGCCCATTTTTGAATTGGGTTATTTGTATTTTTTTCTTGAGTTGTAAGAGTTCTTTGTATATTCTAGATATAACTTCCTTATGAGATATATGATTTGTGTTATTAACATTTTGGATCAGATCATTGTTTGTTGTGTGTTGGGGACTGTCTTGTGCATTGTAGTATGTTTGGTAGTATCCCTGGCCTCTGCCCACTAGATGACAGTAGCACCTCTACCCCACCAACTGTAATGCTAAAAATACCTCCAGATAGTACCAAATGTCCTCTGGGGGCAGAATTGCCCTGTCGAGAACCACTGATTTAGAGAAATCTAATTCTATTCCTGTCCCGTTCAGCCTATTTCCTTCCTTCCCTCATAGTAGCTGTTAATTCTTTTTTTCTTGGTTTATCTTCTCATTATTTAAATATAAGTAAACCTGTATGTCTTTTTTTTTTTTTAAATAATGTTGACCTGTAAGGGGATCTTAACCCTTAACTTGGTGTTGTCAGCACCACGCTCTCCCAAGTGAGCCAATCGGCCACCCCTATATGGGATCTGAACCTGTGGCCTTGGTGTTATCAGCACCACACTCTCCCAAGTGAGCCACGGGCCGGCCCTTGTATATCTATTTGTAACCCCCTTCACTTCTTAGATAAATGGTAGCCTACTCTGCACATTTTCTCCAGCCTTGCTGTTTTCACTTAACACTATATGCTGGAGATCACACTGTAGAAGGATAGAGAAATATTCTTCACTCCTTTTTATGGCTTGCAGTTCAAACCATAATGAACAATAGCTTCCCAGCCAGATGGTACTTTTAAGTCTCATGCTCAGAAGGCCTAATATCATTGAAGAGTTCCCTATGAAGCTTTAATATGAATGTATTTCCTAATAGGTGAAATGGCTGTGCCTGGAGAAGTGGGTTTTCTTCTCTAAGATATACTTTGAGACAGGAAGTGATTTTACCAGTAGGTGCCACTGTTAGATAGCTTTGGCAAGGTTGATTTTTTTTTTTTTTTTTTTCTGGTCAGTACAGAGATCAAACCCAAGGTTAATTCTTTAATGACTATTCTTTACTGGGTATGTGTGTGTGCATTAAAAAAAAAAAATTATACACAGGGTAAAAATGCCCTGCAGCAAAAGTATAAAACTGCCCTTCATTTGCCCCCACCGCACGTTAGTTTGCTTCCCCATAGGCAACTACCTTCTTCCATTTCTTTGTTATTCACCCAGAGATTGTGTGCGCGTGTGTGTACACCCATCTACACACACACGTACGGACATGTATTTCCTTTTTAAAAAATACACATGCTTGCATGCTTGAGATGCTGTTCCACCTTGCTTTTTCTACTGATCACTCCACATCAGTGCGTGGGGCTCTTCCACACGCTTGCCCTGCTCTCTGCTGTGTGGCTGCACCGTTATTTATTTCCCCAGTCTTGTATTTAGGTTTTGCCCATTGTTTGCTACTTTAAATCATACTGCAAATTGGCATCTGTGTACATATATCCTTGCATCCACATGTGAACATATCCGCGGGATAAATTCCTAGAAGGGGAATTGCTAAGTCAGAGGAGACGTGGGTATTACATTTTGATGGCTCTTACACACATAAGTGAGATGAGAACAATAGAGCCTAATTGCTATTGAACATCTTTATGGCCTGAAGCCAGTTTCTTGGAGAAAAATAGCCTTAAAACCCAGCATTTGACGATGGTGAGAAGTCTTATTAAAGAAGACTAAGGTGATAGAATCATAAGGCAGCAAACACCATGAAGCCTGGGGAGTCAATTAAACATGAGCAAATAACAATTACTTTGTGGGCAGTGGTCATTCTGGTCCTTTTAGCTAATAAAAAGTAAACAATTTGGAAACCAGGAGCCTCCTTTAGGTTATATTTGCTGCTGAAATCTGTTTCACGGGTCGTCATGACCCTCCTTTGGCATGCGTGATTAGTGTTAGGGTCGCTTATGAAATCCTTAAAGACATTGGCATCCAGAGCAGATCTAAGAGGAGGTGTCTCTTATACACATAAAAAGAGAAATAGATTTTTCTCTGAGGGTTAAGGTAGACTCAGAAAGAGTCTCAGAGTACCCAGGAGAGAGTGAGTAAAATTTATTTTATTGTGTTATTTCTCTGCTTAATCCGCAAGGTGTGAAATAAAAGGCTCTGGGACTTTGCAGAATATTTGAGGTTCTACAGCAGCTCTGGTTTTTTGGCCTACTTCAAAGTAGTCTCAGCTGCCTTCTAGATGCTCACCAAGAACACAGCTGTAGCTGACTTACATTCTAATCCTGTATCAATCCCATGGCTGCTGTTGACATCCTTGAACTTGAATTTGGCTTCGGATCTCTCCAGTTCATCTGGGGGCTAGTTCATGTCATCAGGGACTTTGCATTTAGAATAGTTTTGCCTTTTGAGGCATACATAGGAAGAATGACCTCAATCTAATATTTAGGCATGTGGATCTGCTTAATTCTGAGCATTGTTTTTGTTGAAAAAGGTAACTTTAAAAAAATCTTAATTTACATAAAATATAACACCCTGAAAACAGAATCCATGTTCCACCTTCAAAACATATTGATGCACACACATGCATACTTGGATGGTGGTAATATTAAGGAAAAGTGATAAATTCAAAGCATTTTAAGAAGACGCAAATGGATATTTGAGATTGCGGTATTTGATATTATTTCAATTTTAGTTATTTATCATAAGTATGACTTCATTTATCCCTTTCGATCCAGGAATTTTTTTTTTTTTTTTTTTTTGTCTTTTTCCATGTC